TCACCTAGCTGTCCCTCCACCCAGTGGTAGGCCCTGAGGAGGCCTGTGGGCTATGGAACCCAGGGAGGGGCAGACGGGAATAACATGGGAAGGGCAAACAAAAGAGTATGCAGTTATAGTCATGGCTACTTAAGTCATGCTCATCAGCCATCATCCTTTTCTTTAGGATGAAGCATCAGACTTTTCTAAACCATGTCTGGTTGGAAGAATCCAGAAATAGCACTAGACTCTTTAAAGCCAGCCAAGGAGTTTACGGTAGGAGTGCACAGTTGAGGGCCTCTTTGGGAGTGAAAATAGCTGCTGAAGAGCCTGGAATTGTGCTACCTTTCTCTGTGCTATCTTGACTCTGCTACTTTGATAACTGTGTTACCATGGGTGGGTGGCTTAACTTCTCTGTGCCCATTTCACCTAGGAATGGGAATTAAACACCACTCACTTCATAGGGTTCTTACAGGGATTGAGTTAAAAGTCCCAATTCATGCAGTGTCATTATTCTGTGTCGTTATTCTGTATGTCACTGTAGATGAAGTATTGGTGAGCTGTAAATGGAGTATTTTTCTTTTTCTCTTTTCATATCATATTGGTATGTACCTCCTCTCACTGATCTTTGCTACTGAAGGCAAGCCATAGGCTTCTAGAGCCCAAGATCAGTAGAATGCTGTCCTTCGAAAATAATTACTGTCTGAAATTCTCCTTACTTCCTATACAAAGTAAAGAATTGACCAGTTAAAGTTACTCCTCTGCACCCCTCCTTTCCCCCTTTTCTCTTTCCTTCCCTTCCTTCCTCCTTTCTGTCAGGGGGCAAACCTCTAGTTTGCAATTAATTTGAATTCATATAGTTACAAACTTGGTCAAGCTGTAGGTCAAAATGGACTTCGTTTTATTTTCTACAGTAGTTGGTTGGGAAGAGATGTGGGGGTGCACTGATGCTCTACTCATCTTCCTGTTACAGGGCTTGTAAGGAGATTGAAGTGTAGCCAGAGACCTCCTTGGAGAGCTAATGTCCTGGAGGCCGGAGGTGGCACAGTTCCCACTGAACCCTACAAGCAGCGTCAGCCAGCCATAAGATAGACCTTCATTCTTAGGGGTTATTATTATTTTTTGTACTTTTCATCCTGAATAGTCTCCTTTCCTTCTAAAGATTTCTTCTTCTGAAAGCATGTATACTTGTTTAAAAAAAAGAAAAAAGATCACTTTAACCACTGCTACTTGCCCTTGTGATGCTGTGACAGTCACAATACTCTCTCTATAGCCTTGGTTTGTTTTTCTGACTTATGTATGGAAGGTTAGCTCATACTACAGACAGAGGGACAATTTAAATTCCTCGTTCATTTGTTCTAACTCCAAGATAAATTAATGTGATACTATATAAGAGATATTAATATTTTTAAAGTTAGTAGCTTAATATTTCAAATATTCAAATTTACATGGAAAATTGTTTTAAAATTCACAAACATCAGCAAATTAAAAATACTGAAGCTTTTCCTTATTGACTTCAGAATATTAGGATTAGTGCATTTTATAAGTTTAAGGTAGTTTTCAACATTTTTTTTCAAGTTTAAAAGTTACTTTAAAATTCTATCTCCTCCAAACTGCTCTACTTTAAAAAAAAATTCTTAAATTCTGGAGTTTCAGTTTCTGTAGCTTTTTTTTTTTTTTCAGTGTGAGCACATCCAAGTTTGTTTTGTAGCTGATTAAAAACACCGTTTTCTTTAACCTGTCAGCAGCTCAGTTGAGCAGTCAGACTGTATTATTCGATATCTTGTCTGACATGAGGACAGCAGTCCAAAGAGAAAGATATCACAAATTGGTGCCACACTTCAATAAATAGAGACATTTTATTTTTTCACCAGGCTAATTCAATCCAGTTCAGTTAACTCTTTTTTTCTCCTGTAAGACAGATGAAAAAAGGCAGCCATGAATGACTGAGTTGGTCATGTGTTTGACACGTCAGTGTGTGCACATAAAGCAGACCACGAGGGAGGGCTAAGCCTTTGCATTTCAGACAATACGTGATGTGAGAGTCTTGCTTAGAGTGCACTGGGAGGGGCTGGGCTTGCTGCCTTGCATGCCCTTCCCCAACTCCAAGTGTGGCCTTGCAGACATGATAGTTCTTAAAAGAGTCTTCAGACATTTTTTTTAGTGCTGATTAAGTTTTGTTAGATACTATGAAACACACTACAGAAATTAAGCTTAGTTTTGTGATATTGATACAATCTTTGTTCTAGATCCTATTCCCTAGAAGTTTTTAGTAAGGTTATAGAGCACATATGTCTATATAATAGCATAAATTTTCTTTAATGATTTCTTGAGATACTGAATAGATGCTAGTATTCATTCTCAAGGATGAAATTAATGGATATGTCTCACATGAACCATTTGTCATATTAAACCTGAGAGAAAGCCATATCAAAGAACTTGCCTGTTGCTCCATGGATCAGGTATGTGGTCCTTGTGTTTGGCCTCAGTACCTGTCAGTTCCTTGCCCCTTGTGGCTGGCATCCCAGTCTCCAATGGCCTGTGGAAGTGCCACTGTCTGTAGAGCCCTCATCTAGCCCCCCAGACCTAACCTTCTCAAACCCTGCCTTTTCCATGAAATAGGCCTCCCCTGCTTTAATTGCCATGAGAGAATATTGCTTTTCTTGGTTTGTATTTTCTTGGTTTGTATTTGAAGAATTGCATGGAGTAAGTGCCACTATACCTCAGGATGTGGAGACACATGGGCTGATAATCCATGTGGCCCATCAGATTTGTCTGTGGTTGGCAGGGGTAGGGCTGAGTGTCACTGGGAGGAGGAGAGGACAGATTCCAGAGCCAGTGAGCTCCACTAGTTACCAGGGGAGGTACCAAGGACAAGTTGCCTAACCTCTCTGTAACTTTGCTCCCTCATTTTTAAAACGGTGGAAAAGATATGACAATATGAGACCATAGTAGTATCCCCTAAAAGAGTTATGAAGTTGAGTTGATTTTGGTTAAGTGTTTTAAATGGTCTCTAACTTAAAACAGATTAAGTGTTACATAATGTTTATGAAACCAAATAATTGACCATGTTCTATTCGCTTGTCACGGTTCTGTGTGTTTTTCACATTAACTCATTTAATCTTCATAGTAGTCTCACGTAGTAGATCCTTTTGCCATTTTTACAGACACAAAGTGAAGTAACTCACTCAAGGTTCTGCAGCAAGTTCAGAACCAGAATTGGAATTCGCAGCACCTGCTGCTGGACCCGGCAGCGCACCTGAGTACCTAGTGTCCTGTCAGGTCGCAGTGCAAAACCCTTGCCCTTCAGAACACCTCAGTCAGATGAGAGGATGAGGAATGTAACAAAATGTATTTTTTGGCTCAACAGAAAACATGCTGTGAGATAAAGGGGTCTGGAGAGATTAGTTTCACTGAACCCTTTATTCCACTACCCAGGATTGAAAAGTAGAGAGACCACTGGAGTCATGTGTCAGCAGGGCCAACAGGGCACTGAAGCCTAAGGGAACTACTCATGTCCTTTTGGAATTATTTCAGCCACTCTTTTATCAGATTCTTTAGGTGTTGCCAGCCTAGGCCTAGACAGTAGTCCAGGACTGTGCAGATTACCATAAGGATGGTAACATACAGAAACAGAAATGTGGCAGCCATATCTTCCTGTCTGTGTTGTCTTGTATGCATCTAATATATATTCCACTCATTTATGGGGTTCCCCAGCCATATAGAATTGCTGCCTTCCACAGAAGCTCTAGCTGGAAACGGCCAGTGGCCAGTTCTTGGGAGTCAGTACTACAAATCTGAGAACTTCCCACAGGGGAAGTTCTCATAATGTGATTGTATGTGCACATATACCATGTAGATTTTGCAGCTCAGGATATGATGTGTACTTGTGATTATAAATACTCAGTATCTGTATTTTTGTCACACAATTATAAGATTTTTAAAAATGAATTTCTAAAATCTTAAAAGGACTCTAGTTATTTTGCTGATAGTATGCAATAAGAAATATGTATCTCACAGTTAAGGGTGTTGTGTGTGTGTGTGTGTGTGTGTGTAATAAAAAGGATCCTAAGACAGTAATGCTTTGTAGCAGTTCGTGTGTGTGTGTGTGTGTGTGTGTGTGTGTGTGTGTGTGTGTAATAAAAAGGATCCTAAGACAGTAATGCTTTGTAGCAGTTCGTGTGTGTGTGTGTGTGTGTGTAATAAAAAGGATCCTAAGACAGTAATGCTTTGTAGCAGTTCTAAGGCTAATATTCTTAAGTGCTGGGTAAAGATTCAACTTGAAGAGCACCGATGAAATATTTACTCATCAGATTGCTTTGAAGTTGAGCTTCTCTTGGGTAGTAGTCCCCTTCCTAATGGCCATGTTTCAAAGAAGAGAATGGTTTAGGCATTAAGCTGTGATGTTTTCTTCTTCTCCACATGGAAGAAATCTGTTTTGTTTTGGTCTGCTTCGACATTTAAATTTTGAAAGTGTATATACTTAGAAATCATACTAATGACAGAAATGGTTGATAGGGTAATGTTTTGAAAGTCAGGGTTTTTTTTTCTGTACTGCTAGCATTTAAAGCAAATAGTGTTAACTCTTTTCATTCTGTCATCTTTTCAAACCTAAAGTTACTTACTTTTCCATTTTCATGTTTAAAGGCCTGAGGTGGGTGTATAGATATACAAAATGAATCATACATTATTTTTTTTAAAACACCCTATTATAAGGTCTCTTGCTGAGTTAAATCCCTATTTAAAGATGTTTGGAAGCTACATATTTAGCTGTATGATTCTTCAATTCTAATTATAACTGAAGGGTTTTCCTTCAGAGTTTAAAATTATAAATGGCTTTAAAATCTTGTGTAAATACTGTTTTATTTTCCTTTACATCTTGGATTAAATTTCACTTACTGAGTAAGGTTGGGCTTTAGAAGTTTTTATTGCAATGTTAAGATTAAAAATTTTCTGTTTTGTGCTTCCTCCCATATGGTCTAGACACACTTTAACGTTTGTTTATGTATGTGTTTTCTTAGTTTTCATATGAATCCGACAAGCAATGAAGATCTCAGGAAAATCCCGGTAAGTCTTCAAGGGGTTAGAGAATTACCAGAGAACAAGCTGAGTTTCTCTATGGCACACATTCCCAAAAATTACCTCCGTCCCTGAATGCCTCAGGCACAGAAGTGTGGAAGCTCAGCCTGCTAAGCTGGGAGGAAGGAGGGAAGTGAAATCAGACTTTGCCTTTAAGGTATTAGAGAATATGTTTCTGTATGTGATAGGTATAAATTCAAGCAAACATAGCTATAATTGAAGCCAATCTAGAATATGCATAGTTTATTTGCAAACTTCTGAAATTAATGTGAACGCTGCATGTCAAAGTCAGCATAAACAGTTATGGAATAGAGAAGGGCATATGGAGAAAACCATTGTGTTTTGTTGTTGGGATGAGGATGTAAGAAAGAATAGAGATTCTTGTCAGCCTTCATCAATAGGAAAAGCACCTAGCAGGAGAGCCACTTACCTTGTAAAGTATTTGTAAAAACTTTAGGACACTTAACCTTCCAAATCCTAGTAAAACCAAATAGATTAACAGGAGTGGCCCCAAGCCACACATTTTGTCAGGATTGTTCAGAGATCGCAAGTTCATTTTATTATTGTCTGAAGTCTCAGATTTCCTTGCATTTGTAGTCAATTCTGGGTATTTTAAACCTTTACAGAAATACAGGCAAATATTCTTTGTAGAGAACAAAGTTCTTACTGAACAGAAATAGGGCCTTTATTTCTAGAGGCTGGAGGTTGCTCTTTCAACCATCTGCCTTTAAGCTGTGTGTGACCCAGGTGTGTATTATAAGAATTTTTTAGGCAAACTCCTTTTCCAACTTTCTAGGACGGCTATCCCTTGAGAAGTGGAAGTGGACTTAGAGCTGATTTTATGAACCATTTAAATGCAGTTGTCTGTTTTTACAATTGAAGAAAACACTGTAGAAGCACAGGACTTTGTACTGTGTTTCTGCTGTTTTATGTAAATGATTTGTAAGTTTTGATGTTTTATAAATATTCAAGTCTTTATAATATAGCAGTCTGGCAAGAAATGTCAGAATATATGAAGTCTGCCTTTGATCAGATAGTAGAATGAATTCTATCAGGCAGTTTCTTAATCTCAAACAAAATGCAACATCAAAAAATCGATTTAACATGTAGCTATTGTTTATTAAGTAACCTTAATTACAATTTCTATTGCTTGTGTATGTACTTTTCCAAATCTTGTAATTTATTGCTGTAAAAGCATCCTTACAATTCTTTAAAGAAATAAAATGTGAAAATTGTTTTAGTTAAAGGATTTAAAGGTGATAAAAGAATCCTTGATGTGTGATTATTTTGCTCTGGAATACTAACTATTCTAAACGACAGTTAAAGGATTACTAGGTGTTGTTAATTTACTGCAAGATACAATTGAGAGGAGAAAGCTCATCCTCACACTGATTATTGAGGAAAGGTATTTGAACAGTTTTCATGTTGAAGATTATAAGATGTTTGAAGTAATTTACATGAAGTTCTCCAGCCATAGCCATACGCCAAGGTATTTCCTCCCCTTCTGCACACAGTATTTTGTAATTAAGTTTGTATGTCGTCTGTGCTGGTGCCAACACCTGTCGGTAAAGGCACAGTGTTTTAAGCAGGAGCAGTAGCCAGTTGAAAGGGCAGCATGAGCTCTTTAAGGCCTAATTAAGAACTGAAAGGGAGCTGAAGGGAGGAGGACAAAAGATGTGAAAGTAGCTGAGATGATATTCCCAGAGCAAAGTTCCTCATTAGAACAATAATGAGATGATCAGGGAATGCCAAGCCTTCATCTTCTCGCTCTCTTCCACTTGCTGTGGATGTCAGCTAGTACCCTACCAATATTTGGTTACCAGGACAACCTTTCTTTAAATCTTCAGTTATTTTGAGTCCTAATAATTTTCTTTTGTGCAAATTTAAATATTGTAAAAAATGTATATTTCCTAGTTTAAAGAGCTAGATTATGAATAAGTTAAAATGGATCACTAGTAATTCTCCATCTTTTGCACAAGTGTATTACTGAAAATTCTGATTAAAATAAGCATTAAATTTAGTAATTAATTTCAGTACATTATTAAATGTCAGAATTCCATTATTCTCTGACTGCCCCTTTATTTGATATCTGTAAATGGGCTTTTTTTTTTTTTTTGGTAACAGAGATAGAGTAGGAATGAGAAAGAATGGGTTGTGAACGAACCTGCATTCGATCTGAAAATAGGAAGACATCTTAAAAACATCGGTGTCTAGTGGGTTGCTCAGGGAAAACCCCAAGCACTGAGGGCTTCCACTGTGGGCCTCATTTGCCCATCACTGGTTTGTAGAGCACTTCATTTCCACTTTCTCCAAGAATTGTTTGTTTTCTTAAAGAGTTTTCCTCTGACTAGTTTTTGTAGCTCCAAAATTTTTTATTTTTCTATTGTTTATATTAGTTAATATTAATCTTATTGTTTTCTTTGAAATTATCAACAGAAGGACATATATATTTATTTATTTATTGAGCAATCTGTCAAATTAAGAATTATATACCTAAAATTAGGCTTACATGGTTTTTAAATATTAAAACCTGGAGTTAAGTCTGAAACTGCTTTTAACTATTTTATATTCTTTTCCAGAATATAATTTATAGTCCATGTGTTTCTAAGATGTTCTCCTGCCCAGAAACTTGATGCTGCAATATGGGGTCAATTTTTCACCTAAAAGGACAAAGGGACAGCTCACTGAAAGAAAGAAATGCATTTCCAGGAAGTCTTTTACATATTAGCATCAGGCCATTGTGAGGGGAAAAGTAAGACAAAATACATTTGCTTATTCTCAACTAGAGATATAAATGTTGAACAGCATTCTGAAATACTTCATTATGTTGAAAGATGAGGTGGATTTGGATCATGGCATTAATTTAGAATGTCAAAATAGGAAATAGGAATTTTTTATGTCTTCTCAGTTTCTTCAGTGAAAAAAAAATCATTTAACTACATTAACTAGTACTACTGAAAGTTTAAATGTAAAGAGCACAAATGATATTTTAGCTTGTCATCACTTAATTAGTTTGAAGAAATCAGTTCATTTATATATAATTTCATTACAATTAGAGAGTGGAACAGATGCTGTTATTAAATAAATATTAATGTTAAAAATATTAATATATTAAATAAAGGAAAAAACAAAGCAATCACCCAATCAGTAGCATCCTATTTAGTTCAAATTCATTAATCCCTTCAGTTCTCATAAAGCTTTTCAGTAGATGTTTTCCTAGAAAAATGGAAGCACATAAATTGGACTATGTTATTTTAAAAATGCAGTCCAGAAAAATCATTCTGTAGACCACAGAATTTTTGAGTTGAAAGAGACTAAGGGAGGAAAGAAAGTAAGACTTACATTGATTTATACCTAGCAAACATGAGGCCCTGAGTTTAAACCCCAGTACTAAAAAATAAAATAGTGTTTAAGGGACAAAGGTAATATTAATTGGTAGTTACATTTCTTTCTCACTTTCTAATGCCTGTGTTGTTTTAAAGGTATCTTAGAAAATTTGAATTTAATTCCCTTTCATAAGCTCTATAATCACTCATCAAAACTCATCTTTAGCATTTCAGTAGCCCTCAAACTAATCTCTCCTTCTCCAGTGTTACATGCTATAGCCATTTTAATTGCTTGAACAGAGCTTATTCCTATCCTTTCTGTTTAGAACCCACAGCGGTGTCTTTCCCACAGGAAAAAGTCTTAAAACTTGTTAATGACAGCCTTCAATATCCTTGTGGGGTAGTTGACCCACCACTTCATTTCCAGCGTGCTTGGCTGCTGGTTTGGGCCATGGCCACTGGGCCACTGGGCCTCAGCGCCTCAGCCCTGCTTCCTAGTTGAACAGGGAGATCATCCCCCCCAGCCCTCCTCCCCAACCTCGAAATTCTCGTTGTGTTTTGCCTGCAGTCTCAGTCTCAGGGGGCCTAGCTCATGCTCTCCTCCACAAAGTCCAAGGTCTTAGGCAGTGAGGGAAGTTTCTGTTTATCCTGGGGAAAAGGGTGTGTGCTTCAGTGACCCAAACATCAAACTGATAAGGGTTTTTCTGGTGGTGCCAGAGGTGGGGTGCCTTGAAGGGAAGGACTAGTGGGAGCATGATGAGCTGTTCAACTTAGCTTCACTGATGAAAAGTTCTGGTGTGATCTGAGTAGACACTGCAGATGGGGAAGATTTCATTCCTGTGGAGAGAAGACCTTTCTCTCTTGTTGCCAGTCCCGGGTCACATTACCACATCCTCCTTTGAACATGTCAGTCTTTTCTGTCCTTTGGAACAAGAAAAGCAGCTTCCGCAGTTTTCTGTAGGTTTTCCTTAAAACAAAATGGAAATGTTTTGAACAAAAGTGATGAATTATTTTTTAAGTTGTTGAACCATGTTTTAAAAGGCATAATGGTTGCTACTTTTTATTTGGCATTATATATAATAAAAAAATAATCCCAGTGCTACAGAGAGTATCAGTAAAGGACTGTAACTGTACCTTTCTTGATTTCTGAATATTTTTCTTCCACTTTTGTTATCACATTAATATTAAGAATACTTCGTAACAAAAATGAATTAACTCAGTATCCTTTTTACTTTTTGGTTATATTTATGCTTTTGTTTCAGAAGAATTTTTATAGAATGAAGTTAAGAAAATGAATGAAATGAGAGAGAATGCAGATATACCAAACATTATTATAGTTGAAGTTGAACTCAGTTTCCTGATGAGAAGGGTAAAAAGGGAAAGAAGATAAATTGGTTAGGTATTTTTGTAGGAGGAGGAAACAGACTAGATACTCAGAGGAAAAAAGGCTCTGCCTGTCTCTAAATTAAAACAAGTTATTCCCATGAGGCTTTTTATAAGGATATTCATTTATTTAATTCCAAGTGTCTTCTTTAGCATTTCATAGCAAATTGGAGAAGCACATTTGATATTCCTGCTTCTTACAGCTGTCTTCAATAAAAAGCCAAGGCATAATAATATTAAATCACAACTTTGTGGTAGCAATCCCATGAAGTATAAAGTTCAATCAAATGTGTAGTTTTTAATAGCTTCTTATAGTTCCTCCGAGCTCATTCTTAGATATCTTCAGTTTTAACCTTAGTGGCTAACTTGTCCTAAATTATGGTGTATTTCCTCCCTTACAACCTCTTTTTCTGTTTCTCTTGGAGCCTTAAGAGAGAGAGACAGAAAGAAGCACTCTTCCTCTGAGCTCTACACCCTTGGCCCTCACACTAATTTTATCGCAAATTATGTGGTCAGTTTCTGGCACTTGGATATTTTTCACACTATGAAAAAGAGATTTTTTGAATGTGGAGTTGAAAACAAGCCTTTGGTGCATCTGTCCTTGTTGATGCCCAGAACTGACAGGCTAGTCTGAGAACTATCACCTTAATACTCTAGCTAAGGATTGAGGAGAACCATAAGTTGGCTTTCTGAGCATTTTTTTTTTTTTGGTCAGTCATGGGGCTTGAACTCTGGGCCTGGGCACTGTCCTTCAGCTCTTCAGCTCAAGGTGAGTTCTACCACTTGAGTCACAGGGCCACTTCCAGTTTTCTGAGTGGTTTACTGACCATGATCCTCAGATCTCAGCCTCCTGAGTAGCTAGGATTACAGGTGTGAGCCACCTTCACCCAGCTCTGAGCAATTTTTTTATGTCTGTTCTTGATATCCTGTCCATTGAAGTAACCCTCTAGTGTCCTGTTCTAGGACAGTAATCCTTTTGACGCTGCAGCAGGATTCCGGAGCCTGACCTATGAAGAGGTGCTGCAGGAGCTGGTGAAACACAAAGAGCTGCTTCGGAGGAAGGACACCCACATCCGGGAGTTGGAGGACTACATTGACAACCTCTTGGTCCGGGTGATGGAGGAGACGCCCAGCATCCTCAGAGTGCCGTATGAACCGTCCCGGAAAGCTGGCAAGTTCTCCAATAGTTAATAAACCCAGCACATTGCATTTCCAATTGGAAAGAGTGTAAGAGGGAAGAAAGGAGGAAGGACAAACTTGTCACGGGAAGGGACCACACTTGACAGGTTTCATTACAAGCACTCCCTCATGGTACAAAGCTGTTTCACCTGTAAATATCAGCAGAGACTCTGAAAAGTGACTTTGGAAGTGAACAAAATACTCTAAACTTCTAAGGTGAAAACGGGCCATAGTCTTGTTGAACAGCCATTTTCTAGGATTCACGTGGGTGTTGGTGCTGACCCACCAATCTGCCATAGGCCCACAATGTCTTTCAAGTTCATGAGTTATCCCTCAGGAATAGTTTTCCTAAAGCAGAAGCGATATTGTGGCAAGGTTCTCACAAGTCAGTTGTAGACAAACTTAGCTTCAGGAATACAGCTCATTATAGACACTACTAAAACATCCCTATTTTATATACATGTATATGTACATGAATATATATTCATGTATCTTTGTGTATAAAATACATGCATATACCTCATGTATACATGTGTTTTTAGAATATTTGAAAATGTTGGTTGCCTCTAAGGTTGAGATACCAGTTCCTTTAAGAATGTGTGCTCACTCTGTGAATGCAAAACAGGACATCACCACTACTATTCTGGCTCAGCACGCAGAAGCTGCTTCGAATCACTCTCGACTGTGAATGTCAGTTTCAGAGTGATTCCATCATCACAGCTTTGTTCCTTTTCCCAAAGTGATAATCTGTGGATTTTTTCTTATTTATTTTTATTTTTTGCTGTGGGCCCATTCTACCATGAAAGATATCCCAGCCCTTCTAAAGTCTTTTTGACAAAAATGATAAATTCATTTTACAGCAGCATGAATGTCTTTCGTTTAATTTTTACCTAACATTTGACTCTTATTTAAGGTATTAGCAGAAGATAAGCTAATGCAGTTTGTTTTGTTGAAATTCTGCATGCCTTTAAATCATTAGTAAAGAAAATATTACAAAGTCATATCTGAAAATAATTTAGGAATAAAAAGAGGAAGGTGTCTGTCTGGTACCCAAAGCCAAACTAGGAATGAGGAATTAAGCTTGGTTTCAAGTTTCCTAAATAATAGAACAGATGGCTGCCTTTGGTTCTTCTTCACAGCAGAAGTGAGTTTTTAGAGCAGTCCCTCCAAGACCTGAGGAAGTAAGCACCGTATGAGAGACTCCTCCTTAAAGTCCACGCCCTCAAAGTGTGGATTGGATCCATGGATTAGCAAAATGGATTTTTATAAAACAATTTTGAAATTTAAGATGAACACAATAATAAAAAATGCTAGTAATCTTCTGCTTATTTTTCACCCTTAAAAAACCTAGTATACTTCCTGTGAACACAGTGTATCTGTCTTTCTAAATTTGAAGGAAAAGGTTCATCTCCACACTAGGCCTGCAGTGAGTTTTATACCCTAGAGTCTCCCTCTAGAAAGATTTCACTGTAATTTAAATCAGAAGCAGGTAGTTTTATTTATTGACCAAGTTTACATTCATAAACTGCAGATTCTTGTTACCTGTATTTTCTGTGTTACTCTAGTTTTCCTGTGAGAACAGGCATTTTGAAACTCTGAAATGTTATCCCCAGTACAGTAAATTAAATATTCTAAAATTAAATGGAGAAGGAAAATGCCTTTGTCAGTTTTTCTCTCCGTGTGAAATTCAAGTTCTGTAATAAAGCTGAAACTCTAGTGCAGGATTTTATTTTCCATTTGTGGTCTTATTAATGACTATTTTTTAACCTGGTACCATTTTACATTAACATTTATTAAATGTTATAAAATTCTTAGCATTTATTATTATTAAAACTATTCTTAAACTTCAAAACACCACAGTGCACATGTTTTCCGTATTAGGCAAGATAGCATAATGAGCTTCATTCAGCCAGACTCATTCTTCTAGAGTGAGTGATATGTCAGTTTCATACGGAATATGTTTGCCTTAATGCTCAATAAAAAGTATGCTGTTCTTTTTTATGAGAGAATATATTTTTAAGGAGCATTTCTTTTGCCTCTGTAAAGAAAAATGTTCTGGAGTAGACTAACTCATCCATGAGTGACTGGCTGAAGCTCAACCAGTATTTTTAACTTTAAAATATGAGACAAGTGTTGTATTTAGAACTAAAACTCCACTTAACAGCTGCCTGAAAGTACTCTGTTCCAGTGTTGAATTTTTACTCTTGACCCAGATTAAACCTGCTACATATTTTCACGATCAGTCTATGTAAAAGTGAAAAACAAGAACAGATTTCCAAGTAAACATACCAGTGTTCCAGTGTTTAAGCAGAAGTGCAAACAGTATTCATTTCTGGCATTTTAGAGAAAAGGCCAAAAGGATCACCTTAGTTATTTTTCCAAAATGTAACTCTAATGATTTATTGTTTCAGCTAAGAAATGCAAATGATATATATGTGTGTGTTCATAAATAATGCACAATACAATATTCAGAGTTTACTTCTGTCTTTATTCCTAAAAATGTTTGTTCAATACCATTTCTACAAACAAGATTGTGAACTATTGTAAGATTGATACTTAAGACTATCTTAAACTAATGTACTTCTGTTACATAATTAAACTATTTCTGCTTTACTTTAAAACCAGTATTGCTTTAAAACCAGTTCTCCTCTCAGTTCTAAAGTTCAGCTTTGAAAGCTTGACAATACCATTCCACTACATAAGCCTCACATTTCACTATGGAGGAGGTGGGTCATATAGTTCATATTGTATATAAAATACTGTATAACCCAGTCATGACAAGTGTTTTTATGTATTGCTTTTTGCTACTATATTCTGCATTGAACCTAGTTTTGCCCTTCATCTGTGAATGTCGTGTATTATTCATAGATTATACATAACTACAACTTTTGCTTTTGGCAGTAAGTCAAGATTTAGTTGTAATTTTCCAACTGTGAAAATGTTGCCTTGTATTTAAAAGGGTTTCATGAATGAAAACCTAAGTAAACTAAGCTCATTAGTGACAGACCTGCTTTTTCAAGTCCTTCCCTTTATCATCTCCCATCCTCACATTCCCCTGTCTACCAATCCCCATAAGGGTGCTTATCTTTCAGCAAGGAGAATCTTTTAAAAAACAAAAAGAACTGACAACTACTGTCTTTAATGTGTGTATAGTGATTGTTCCACTAGAGCTTTTCTTTTCCTCTATAGGTTTTTAGGAAAAGCTGCTTGCCTTAGATTTGTACAGCTAGCTGAAACTTCCTTGTGTCCATGGACTTGTATGTCCTGTATACAGTAGGTATCACTTGTGTGTGAATTGGAAGCATGCCCATTCACTAGATCTCTGTGAAGTAGGAGGGAAAGGATCACGCTGCTGGCTCACTGGGGTAGATGTGTGGGTCTGTCAGCACACATCGCAAGCCCCCATTTTCACAGATTTATAACATTAATAATCCAGATGCAATCATTGGAAGTATTTAATATGCAATAGGTAGCACCTTAACTAATTAATCTGAGTATGAAGGATTTTCTGATGTATTTAATAAGAAGTGTAGGAGCTCTTCAAGCATTAAACTCAAGTTGACGTTTTATTTCATTTACTTTCTCTGTCAAAAATCCTCTTACAATGGAATTGAAGTCCGTTAACTAATGATACATTTGGTTCTATTCATCTCTGAAGCTTGTAGATGATACAAAAAATGCTACAGATCTACAAATGGGTGTACTTAGAAGGTACTTGGATGATAAAAGCATTATTTATAATGGTGGAGTATTACATTGACCTTAAGTAAGTGCTCTAGTAACTCATGTTTTTGCAGGTACGAAATCAAAAGCATATAAACATTGTATATTGTGGCAGTTGTATGTATAATTTACGTAATTGATGCATGAATCAATTTTTATATGATTATATGATTATTTATTATAGTTGATTAAAGTGTTTAAATGTAATCCAGTTGTCAGAATTTCTCATTATCGAAATAATTTTACCTTCGCATGTTTGTACGTGAGTCCTAGTTTTCTCTTTAATACATCATGGAATGCCCCTTCTGGGCATCTATATCACAGTATTCTGTAAGAGCCACAGCCTGATTCACAGTATAAGTGGTTTTGAGAAGTCATCTAGAAGAACGTTGGAATGAACATTTTTCAGCAGATGTTAGAAGGGCATGCTCTGAGGGATGGAGTTCCTGATTTGGTAGAAAATGACATTTGAATCTCTACTCAGGTGATGGCCTATGCCAAGTGCCTTCTGTATCTGCATTATTTCATTTATTCTGCATCACAGCCCCAAAGTAAGGAGCATATGAGGTTTCGGGGGAAATTTAACTTTTAAAAACTGTTGGTGGTACTCAAGGGTAGAGTGGGGTTGGTGCCCCTCTTAGTTCCTCAGCACTTATCCCACAGCATGAGGTAGAGGTTGGCCACACTTCCAGCCCCCATCATGGATGTCCAAATGCATACCTGTCATCTGAGGTGCTATGTAGGGGAAGGAGGTCTCACATGTCTGTTTGTGTATGCAGGCCTGTATGAATGTGTAAATGACAGTCATATTACTAGATTGTGAGATGTGACTGGTATGCAGTCATAATATCCATTTATGGCTTTGGAACAGATTGTTTCTCTGCAGGCCAGAGAACCTTCCTGCTCTCTAACTGCTGTCAGTGTTGGAGGATCCATCTCACCTTCTCCACAGTCACTAGTACATTTCTCTAGATGGTTCCCCCTTCCACTTTCCCCAGCTTGTAGTGCACTTTTTTTTCTTTGTTTTTGAATGCTCATACAGGGGCTTGAACTGAGGGCCTCTAGCTGTTCTCAGGTTTTTTTGCTCATTCCTGGTGCTCAACCACTTGAACCACTCCTCCAGTCCCAACATTTTGCCGTTTAATTGGAGAACAAAATCTTAAATTTGTCTGTATAGGTTGTCTCCAAACCATGATCCTCAGATCTCAGCCTTCTGAGTAGCTAGGATTACAGGTGTGAGCCACTGGTGCCTCATACAGTATGCATATTACTTCTTCTTTAGTCTGCCAAGGCAAAGCTATTTGGGGAAATTGGGGAGAAGCCTGCTATTCTTATTCTATTGCAGTGGCAATTTTTCCAGTAGATCTTAAAATGCCTATCTTTGAAAAATTTCTGTTTAAATGGGCTTGTGGTCTCAATCCCAACATTTTACAATTTTCTTAAAATAATTAAATATTAACCTATGTAGTTAATATGCATAAGCAAAGCTGGATGCTGGTGGTTCATACCGGTAGTCCTTGCTATTCTGGAGGCTGAGATCTGAGGATTGTGTTCAAAGCCATCATGGACAGAAAACTCAATGAGTCTCTTACCTCTAATTAACCACCCGATGCCTGGAAATGGCACTGTGGCTCTAAATGGTAGAGCACTAGCTTTGAGCGAAAGAGGTCAGGGACAGCACCCATGCCCCGAGTTCAAGCCACACAACCGACCAAAAAAAAAAAGTAAAAAGCAATATTTTAATATACAGTTCTAGAAGTTATTTTTCTTAGATTTCTCACATCCTAAAATTTGATGTTCAATGGTTTTATCATTCATTAGTCCTAATAAAAGACCAGAACTTCTTCTGTGAAACAAGATAGCAGATTTCTTCAGCAGAAGTTTTCAATTCACGTGTGTTGACAAATATAAGGTAAGATATGGTTTGTTACTACATACCAAAGTTTTAGAAATGATTTCTTAATAAAATAGGATTATTCTTATAATGTATGCACAGCTGAAAAATTATAGATTATTGTTACTATGATAGTACTCTCACTCAGCTACGTTCTGGTGAATGACAGAAAAGTATGCAACTGCCTGCCGGGTGCTTACCTGGAGGCATTCTCCTGAGGGCTGTACCTGAGTGCAGGATCACACATGCACATTATGGCCAGGCAGGCATGATAGACCACGTCAGGCATAAAAGAATAAGGGTAGAAGAGTGCCAGTCTAGGACTCTGTGTGCCTACCACAGGGAGCAGCAACCATTCAGCTCCAGCTCATCCTGGTCATTTGGAAATTAACCAGGCCACGTTGCTAAATCCAATCTCCCTAGAGGAACTGAAATTACAGATTCTCTTTGTTTTTTTTGGGCGGGGGGAGAAGGTGCAGTATTGAGGTTTGAATCAAACTTGCTTAAATGGCCCTCTACCACTTGAGCCATATCTCCAGCCTGGCTTGTTACTAGTTATTTTGGAAATGGAATCTTGCAAGCTTTTCTACCTAATCTGGCTTTGAACCATGAACCTCTAGAGTTCAGCCTCCTGAGTACCTAGAATCATGCACTTAAACCACTCACACTCCACTGAAGAGATGGATTTTTATGTGAAACACAATTATGTAAATATTGGCAGCTCATGGATTTTTTTTAAGTACCTGGAGAGCTACTAGTTTGCAGTCTCATCAGAATTTCTGACTGCCAGTCATTGTCACCACCATTGTGACAAGTCAGAGGAAGTAGTGGTTTATTTCAGCCACAAATGATTTTATGGGTGATCAAAAGCTGAGTTGACAGAGGGTCATGTGATGCATATGTGACAATGTTGTGTGACGTGTGGGGAGCATGTGAAGGGAGGAAATGAAGGGTGACGGGAGTTAAGTTTCAGTGATGGAACATGAAATTCTATAGATCTGCAGGAAAAACGTGCCTACAGTTCACAGTTACATTTTGTACACTTAAAATTTTGTTGAAAGTAAATATTTTATGTGAAATGTTTTTAACACAGGAACTTTTTTTAATTAAAAAAATACACAAAGGCCTGTTCCTGAGCCTGGTTGTGCTGTTCTTGCTTTTGATGAAGAAAACGATACAGGTGACAAGGTACAGACTAGGGCCACTACTGACTCAGTCTATGACAGCTATGAACTATCAGTATCCTGTCACTTATTGGTTAAAAACCATGAGACAAAACAGTGCCCCACATATCAGATCACTTATTGTGTTGTGTTTCAGTTAAAGCACATGCAGTGCATGAGTTTTCAGTCCTAGAAAGAGGATGTGTTTTTAGATATAGTAACACCCTCTTATCCCCAAGGGTCATGTTCCATGATCCCAACACAGACCTGAAACCTTGGGTAGTACCAAACTCTACATCTACCATGCTTTTCTCTTTATAGATATATATCTATGGGAAGGCATAATTTATAACTGAGGCACAGTAAGTGAGAAATAATAATGAAACAAAAGTTGTATCTACTGTAATAAAGTTGCTTATGTCACAACTTGCACTTAGGGGTCACAAATAAATAATTACTTGCACACAAGCACTGCAGCACTGACACAGCTGATCTGATGACCAAGACCCCTGGCTACCAAGTGACTAACAGGCTGGAAGCAGAGACACAAGGGAACACCCCCTACAGAGGACCGATGCCTGGTCCAGTATAGACAGAGCAATCCCCAGGGGATCCCGCTCTATTCAGAAGGGTGTGCACTTTAAAACAGGAATTGTATGGATTTTTTTCTGAATTTTTTCCATTTAATGGTTTTTAATCATTGACTTTGTACCTTCGACATACTACTTTTTGGACCCAGCCATATCTGGGAAAGTGTGCTTTAAATCACTGGTTCTTTAAAGGTTGTCCCCAGAACAGCACCTAGGAATTTTCTAGAATGAGTTCTCAGGTCCTGCACCCAGCCTCTGAGAGGCCTTAACTGAGGTAAAAGATAGTAGTGTCCAAAAAGGAATAGAGGATGCCATGGGGGCAGGGAGAGGGTAGCGGGAAGGGAGGGTGTGGAATATACATCTAAGCCTGTGTAATGGGCCTTGAGCTAATGAAGCTTTTTCTCAATGAGCACTCTAACTTTGCTATGGAAATGATCTTACTGTCAATTTTATAAAAACCCTACATTCTTCACATCAAAACTGGGTTGAAATTTACTTCCTAGGGAAATACGGATTGTAATTTTAAAAGTCACCTTAGGTCTTTGATCAAATATTAAAGACACTGAGTGGAAGAGGTCATTGTGTACTGAGTCACATAATTCAAAGATGGTCAGAGAGGACACACAGGGAGAGGATCCTGGAGGATCCTTTTCCTCATCAGAGGATAATGTTGGTAATGTAACAGTGTGAAATGGGTCCGAAGACATCTGAGCACTGGCCATCATAGTGAACTGGCTGTTTTCTGTGTTTCTTTCACTCATGCAAACCTTCAATAGAGACCTCAGTATCAAATAGCAGATGAGCCTGTTCGAGAAACTTAAGAGAAGCAGAGAGCACAGGTCATAAAAAACACAGCAAATTGATTATCTCCCATGTGAACCTATAGTTACAATCTCTTTCTGGAGGAAAAAAATGTTTAACAAATCAAGCCAGATTCAGACATATATCACATGCTTTCTCTCATATGGAATCTAAGATTTAAGAAAAGATACGGAATTAGGAACAGAGAGGGGGAGGAGGAATGGGAAGGGAAAGGATCAGCAGGAATGGGAAGAAGAGGCATGAGAGAATTATAGGGGCTGAGTACGATCTAAGTATGTTATGTACATTATGAAAAGGGCAGCGTGAAACTGTCGGTATTAGGTTAAGAACTCAGAGTCTTGTGCTTACTCATGAGGCAAAAACTCTACTACTTGAAGCCTATAATTTTGTGTAATAAAAAGTGATGGGGAAAACAATTTGCTTAAAAGCATCAAACTTGGTAAATGAGTTTTATTTCCTTTCCCAGTTAGGAAGGAGATGTTTGTGGGAATGACATGTCAGAGTAAGGCCCTGGGAGCTGCGTGTCTGATTCACCCAGACACTCATTTTCAAACTTGGATTCATTTAGGTTATAGTCTGAGAGACCCTACAGGGCAGGTACTTCTTTGAAGACATAATTCATTTGTGATGAACAGTTGACTAATCCAATAGAATGGCATTCAGTGTTTTTATGTTTATATTTAAACATTTTTATTAATGTACTGTTATTGAGCATCTTTCATGATTTATAAGCTGCAA